CTGCAGGGGAACATACCCCAGAAGGGCAACAAAATTTTGGAGGAGATCTCTCTCTGGGTCAGAGGTCCATTACGGACACTGACATCTTTCCCCATTCTTTATCTGCTTTTCAGAAGAAAGCATGTTCACCCAGAAGACTTGAAGAAGACCTGGAAGAGGTGGCGGCGGCGGTTCAGTTCTCCCTGGACTTGAACGTGGGGAGCGGTCCTAGGGGAGAAACTCAAGTGGGCCAGGGCAGTTTGGATGGGCTTCCTTTCTCAAACACAACAGGCCTTGTTGGAGGAATGGGCCAGTTCTACTCTAATTTGAGTCCATTGAGTGAACAAGCAGGCCAGCAACTGTCCATTGTTCAGGAGGCTCAACTGAACTATGAGCGGGCCCTGGGAAGGGCAGAAAAGAAGAGGAAGCCTGTCTGGCTCCTTGATCTGGAAAAAAGCCCACAGGCAGAATTCAGCCCACCGGAGCTCACAAAGCCACTGATCTTCAACCCAGGATTGGAGTCTCTGCCGTTGGGTGATCAGAGAAGGAGGATTGGGATTAAAAAAAGAATGTTAACTGATTTTTCTTCTGAGTTGCAGAAAACAGGGGAGCATGGGTCCTCGTCACAGGCATCGGTGGAGCGCCTTAAGCCACCAAATGAAGAATGAGAATTATTAGTTGGAATTGTAGGGGGTTTGGCCAACCCCTTACAAGAAGCTATTGCAGCAGAATTTGCAGGAATCTAGGCCCATCTATCCTCTTCCTTATGGAAACCAAAAAGGATGAAGAATTCATGGAGGAGAAGAGGAAGCAGATGAAGTTCTCTTTTTCGGAATATGTTAATCCTAATGTAGGGGGCAGTGGTTTAGCACTCTGGTGGAATTCTGGGGTCTCTATCCATGTTTTAGACTCTAGTAGCAATTTCATAGATGTGTGTATTAGTTATGGCGGTAGGGAATTTTTTTGTACGTTTGTTCATGCCCCTTCCACTGCAGTGGAGAGAAGGGCCTTTTGGGAGCGAATGAGCTCTTTTAGAAGTAGTACAGTAGAAAAATGGTTGATAGTTGGGGACTTGAATGTAGTTCAGTTTGACTACGAGAAGGAAGGGAGATGCCCCCTTCGAAATGAAAATGTGGCTCCATTCAAGTACTTCATCGCCCACAATGCGTTGATGGATTTAGGATTCAAAGGTCAAAGATTCACTTGGTCTAACAAGCAACAAGGAACCAACCTCATTAGAGAAAGACTTGATAGAGCCTTGTGTTCTACTTCTTGGAGGGCTGATTATGATAAAGCGGTTGTTTTCCATGAGGAGATGATTGAATCGGATCATTGCCCGATCAGGGTGGACATCAACTTCAACAATAACAGGAGGAACACCCCTTTCAGGTTTGACAAGAGATGGAAGGATAAAAATGAATGTGCTGTGATTGTTCAGAATATTTGGAATTTGGCAGGGGACTCCAGCAGCAAAATGGAGAAATGTCAGGATGAACTTAAAGATTGGGCAAAGAAGGACAGATTTGAAAGAACGAAAAGAGAAGAGGAAATCAAAATTAGACTACAAACTCTTCAAGGTCCAAATAGAAATCAATCTGATGTGGATGAGGAAAAGCTTCTCTTGGGGGAGCTCGCAGGTTTTTGGAAGTCAGAGGAGTCTTTTTGGGCTCAATGCTCTCGTGTCAATTGGCTAAAAAAAGGAGACCAGAACTCTGGTTTTTTCCACGCTAGCACTGTTCAGAGAAGACATTCAAATCGTATTCTCAGACTTAAGAATACTGCAGGAATTTGGATCAACAATGAACAGCAACTCAAAGCGATGTCTCAGGATTACTACAAGGAGCTGTTCCAGGCTCGTCCTCCGTCCCAGTTTGATCATCTCCTTCAAGATTTCCCCAGTCTAGTCACGAATGATATGAATCGGGAACTTTGTGCAAATGTTGATAATGAAGAAATCAGAAAAGCTGTTTTTCAGTTGGGACATTCTAAGGCCCCAGGACCGGATGGCTTTCCTGGGTTTTTCTTCAGGAAATTCTGGCCACTTATTGGGGAGCAGTTTTGTGAGGAAGTCAGGGGTTTTTTTTTATTCTAATCATCTTCCAGAGGGGTGGAATGACACTCATATCTCGCTTGTCCCTAAAGTGGAGGTTCCGGAATTTGTTAGCCATTTCCGCCCGATCAGTTGCTGCAACTTCCGGTATAAGGTCATTACCAAAATTATGACCTCTAGATTGCAAAAATGGCTACCTGATCTGGTCTCGGAACTTCAGACGGCCTTTACGGGGGGGAGACAGATTCAAGACAATGTTATAATTGTGCACGAAGTTCTGAATCATTTCAAGAAGCATAAAGTTGGAAATCGTCAAGACATGATGCTCAAACTTGACATGAGAAAAGCATATGATCTGGTGGATTGGGATTGTCTCGATAAAATCCTTGTTCTCTATGGTTTTTATCCGAAATGGTGTGCTTGGGTCAAAGAATGCATTAGAACTGTAAAGTTCTCTCTTCTGTTCAATGGTGAAGCTTCACCAAAGTTTACACCAACAAGAGGGATCCGTCAGGGGGACCCTCTCTCCCCCCTTCTCTGTATCCTCCTTTCAAATGCTCTCTCTTTTCTCATTGATAAGGCTGCAAGTTTGAATGTTTTTCGAGGAATTAAGTTGAACCGAAACTTCCCTACCCTTACACATTGTCTTTTTGCAGATGACACTGTTATTTTTGGAAGAGCTACTGAAGAGGAAGCGACTAGTATCATGAACATCATCTCCTCCTACAGCAATTTTACTGGTCAAGAAGTGAACAACACAAAATCTTCCATCTTTTTCAGTTGCAATGTCGATGGGGGGAAAAAAGCTCAAATCACACAGATGTTGGGTTTCAGCTCCTCGACCTGCCATGCTACGTATCTTGGGGTTCCTACGGAATGGGGCAGGTCTAAAAGAGAAACGTTTGAATTTCTTATCACCAGAATGGAGAAAAAAGCTGAAGCTTGGAAGAGCCTTTTACTGTCCCCTGGAGGGAAGGAAACTCTCCTGAAAGCTGTGATCCAGGCTATCCCGACATACATTATGTGCCTTTTTCTCATGCCTGGATCAACCACAAAAAGGATGGACTCTATTCTCCGGAGATTCTTCTGGTCAGGATCCCTCCACAAGAAAGCAATCCACTGGTGTGATGCAAAGGTTCTTTGTGCTCCAAAAGAGGAAGGAGGGATTGGGTTCAGATCCTTCAAAGAATTCAATCTTGCTTTACTTGCAAAACAAGCCTGGAGGATTCTTGAGAACCCTTCTGCTTTGTGGGTTCGTTTGCTGAAGGGACTCTACTTCCCTAGCTCTGATTTCCTACATGCTAAGAAAGGAGGCCGGGCTTCTTGGATTTGGGCTAGCCTTTGGGAAGCAAAGCGGATGATGGAGCTGGGTATCATCAGAGTCATTGGAAATGGTGAGTCCACCAGTTTCTTTCATGATCAATGGATCCCCCACATACCTGGGGGAAAGCTCAATGGGTCAGTGATTCAACAAGAACGAGTGGTGGAGTTCATCAACATGAATGAGAGAACGTGGAATGAGACTGCCCTTCACCAAAAAGCTCCCACAGGCTCTATCCAAGACATCAAGCGTGTCCCCATTGGTTTGGCTGACGCCCCGGACTTTTGGGCTTGGAGATTCACCACCAAAGGCAATTTCTCAGTGGCCTCTGCTTACCATGCCTTCCACGACAAGATTCGTACGCAAATGACAGGCTACCTCCCCCCATCGGGTCATGATAAGGAGAGATGGAAATGGATTTGGAAGCTCTCCCTCCCTCCAAAGCTGAAGTTCTTCGTCTGGAAGTGTGCAAGGAAAGCTTTGGCGACTAAAAGTCGGTTGTTCAGCCGCAAATGCTCCCCTAATCCCTCCTGCCCTGTCTGTTTGGCTGCCGAGGAGTCCATTCATCATTGTTTGTTTGAGTGCCACCATGCTTGGGAGGTTTGGCATATGTCCTTTCCCTCTTTGGCCACTGCCCCTGCTAACTCCAACATTGTCCATTGGTTATTCCAGCTGAAGGACGTGATCCCTTCCCATTCAATCACTCTCATCATCTTCACCCTTTGGAATATCTGGAAGACTAGAAACGAGAAGGTTTTTCGCAGCTCCATTCCTTGGCCTCCTCTCACATGTTCCAATTCAGCAAGAGATGCCAATGAATGGTCAACGTGCAATTCCCCTCGGACTTCCTCCCCTGTTCCTGTTGTCCAGCCTATTCACCCCCAGAATCAGCCTACACCACCGCCGAGTAACCCCTCATGGGAGGTTCACTGTGATGGATCGTTCTTAAACGATTCCCAGGAGGCGGCTTATGGCATTGTCGTCATCAATTGCCATGGTCAAGTCTGTGATGGGAGGGCTGGAACTTTGCTTTGCGCTGCCCCAATTGAAGCTGAAGCAAAAGCTTTACATGAAGCTTTGATATTGGCCCAAACTCTTCCGGGTCCAGTGATTGTCCGATCTGACTGCCAAGTGCTGGTCAATGCTCTGTTGTTTCCCCATCACCCATGGCCGTGGAATTGTGCGGCTCTGTTGGGAATCATGAAGGAGATCCTCAGGAGATTCCCCTTGATCGAAGTCAGGTTTTTTCGGAGGATTCTCAACGTTAGAGCTGACTGGGTTGCGAGATCGTTGGCCCATAATTCTCTTCCTGTTGACTGGATTGTTGTTCTGGGTTTAATTTCAGATTCTCTTCTGTAATGACTTTTGCCTTAACTTTGATCAAGGAATGCAATATAAGCGGCCCCTTGTCAAAAAAAAAAGGCTGAAGATAGAAAAAAAAAAATACCTGAATCCCGATGCCTCTCCGTAAAAATATCCTCCCACGCGCCGGCATCGCAATAAGTCAAAATTCCTCCATCCTGCCTGGAGTTGGAACTTGGAATGGAATGCTTGTTTGTGTGTGTGAAACTGTGAGATATAGAGATAGAGATAGAGAGAGAGCACATCAAAAACCATTCCACCCCCACGACGAATCCTTGTCTGTCGTATCTTGTCCTGTCCTGGCAGCATCTCTCCCCCACTTCCCCACCACCACCGCCGCAAACAGCGCCAAGAAACTACATCCATAACCCCGCCGCCGCCCCACCACCACTTTCCGTTCTTCCGGCTGAAAACAACTACCCAATCTGTATTGCTGTGTGAATGCAGAGAATGCCCTTTCCCTACTCCTTGCTTTATTCCATTCTGCCCCACCACAACAATCAAACAACACATCAATCCAACTTGAAAGTAAATTCCTTTTCTCTCTCCCCCCTGACTTCCCACAAATTCCATCCGATAATCTCCCTTCTGCAATGGTGATTCCAACGGTAGCAGCAACTGACCCAGCAGCAGTGGGTCACTGGGATTCGGCGGTCAAGAAGCTTAAACGGTTCAACCCAACTGAGCCATCTGTTGTAATCCTCGGCTTTTCCTTGTTCGCTCTCTTGCTCTTCGTTTTCTGCTTCTCCTCCCGCTCCGGTCAGGCTTATCCTTCCTGGTCAGGCTTGGGAGCGCTTCTAGGTCCGTCTTCCGCTTCTGGGTCAGTTCACCGGGTCGAGTTTCTCGACGATGATGGGACACATGGCTGCGATGTGTTTGACGGCAACTGGGTTTGGGACGAAAGCTACCCGCTGTACAAAAGCAAAAATTGCGCCTTCATTGATAGTGGGTTTCGTTGCTTGGAGAATGGTAGGCCGGATAGCTTCTACACCAAGTGGCGGTGGCAGCCCTATCGCTGCAATTTGCCCAGGCAAAATTCCAATCTCTCCCTCTCTCAATTTTGCTTTTCCCACTGCAAAAATTTGAATTTTTTTTAGCTCCATTGACAATGACAGATTCGATGCGAGGGTAATGCTGGAGAAGTTGAGGAACAAGCGGCTTGTGTTTGTGGGCGATTCGGTAGGAAGGAACCAGTGGGAGTCGCTGCTCTGTATGCTAGCATCTGTTGTTCCCCAGAAATTGGAAGAAGATTCGGGTTCTGAGTCGATTTATGAGGTGAATGGGAACCCGATTACGAAACACAGAGGGTTTCTGGCGTTTAAGTTTAAGGACTACAATTGTACTGTCGAGTATTACAGGGCACCGTTTCTTGTTTACCAAGGGAGGCCTCCTTCAGGAGCCCCGGCAGAGGTGCGAATGAGTTTGAGATTGGATGTGTTGGATTGGACTTCGCGGGGGTGGCTGGGTGCTGATGTCTTGATCTTCAACTCTGGTCACTGGTGGAACTATGAGAAGACGATTAAAGTGTAAGTTATTTATATGGCGCTGTGAAACTTGAATGTTTTTATGGGGCTGCCTTCTGTTCTGCATTTGCTGACTGAAGGACTGTGTTGAATACTCTATACATGACTAAAATGTTCGTGTAGTTGAGAATTTACAGCGGCTGGAGATGATCACTATAGAGGCAGGAGTTGGTTTAGTCAGAATTTATCGTCTGCCTGCTTGCATATCCTTCATCCCACATTGTGAAAACTTATGTAACATGCAGTGTGGAGGGCTCATATGAACTTCAAACATTGAGGAGACAGATTGTTTGCTTATGGTAGATGTTGAAGATCAATATCTATGCATCTATGAGCTCTTTTGCGGTTTTGTTCTTGTTTGTTTGCCCTAACCTTTTCTCCCCGTACATGTGGAAACTTTCGTCTGAAGTTTGAGCACTCTTTTCCGGTTTTAGATGCTTTGCCTGATAAAGCATTTGGGTAGGAGAGCTGCTCTAACCATAGAATTCTATCGTTTGTTTTAGGGGTTGCTATTTCCAGGAAGGAGAGGAAATTAAAATGGACATGAGTGTTGAAGATGCATACAGAAGATCAATAGAAACGTTGATGGGCTGGATACACAGAGAAGTAAACATGAACAAGACTCAAGTTTACTTCCGGACATATGCTCCTGTACATTTCAGGTTTTTATTTATTTATCTCACCTCGTAATCTAGCTGTGTCCTCTCTCGGGTTGTTCCTTTCAGCTAATTGTGGACAACTCCGGAAAAAAGAACATACTGCAGATATGCACCCCATTTTCTTTTTCCTAGTCGAGCCAGAACCCTCCTTGGAATTTAGAAGCTACTCATTAACTTAAAGGAATCTCAAAACTCTCCCAGTGCCCTGTGCCTTGGGATAAGTTTCCTTACTTACCTTATTGTATTGGTCTTTTGTCCTCAATTTCTGTTCTTCCAACTGATATGCAGGGCCGGTGACTGGAGAACAGGCGGTACTTGTCATCTGGAAAAGCTTCCTGACTTGGCCTCATCGTCCAATTCATCAGATTACCGTTACAAAGTACCACTCGATGTTCTAGCAGCCCATTCCAATGAATCAGTAGCGACGAAACTGAGCATCTTGAATGTTACTCCATCAGCAGCAAAGAGGAAGGACGGGCATGCATCTCTGTATTATCTAGAGCCAGGGGCAGGCCCTGCTGCCATCAACCGTCAGGATTGCAGCCACTGGTGCCTCCCTGGTGTTCCTGATTCTTGGAACGAGCTCCTTTACGCGCTTGTGCTCAAACGAGAGGCTGCTCGCCAAATGGGCCCTTCAGAATTTTCCCAAGCTCCAATCTGATTGGCAAATTTTTGCGCAGCTGGTTAGCCTTCTGTTCATCATTCTTTTGAGGCTCTGTTGTGCGGTTAAAGCAATCGTTAACCGGGGAGCGGCTTTTTCAGTAGGTGAATCTGATGGGACTGTTCATACAGATGGTTAGGCACATTATTTAACAAGAAGGGCAGATGATATAGGTTGTAGATAACAATAGTTGAATATAGAAGCATCCTTTTGTGTTTGTTTGCCTGGAGATCAGATTCATTTTAATTTATAGAAAACTTGTGCATCTGCGGAGGAACTGTACGAGAGTTGAGGACTGGTTTAGAATAGGGGTACATGGTGCCTGTATATTTTTGGGGTGTAACTTTTATTGCACTTCATGGCCAATTATGCAAGTTTGCAGTGGCGGCTTGGGAAATTTTTACTGCTCTGACAACTTGATGGATGTCTGATTTAAGCATATAACACAAGACAAATTGTCTAATGTTAACGAAGGAAATTGCTATAAAAAAGTGAAAACAAGGCAGTCTTGCTTCTAAAGGGCTCTAAAGTAGGAATGCGTTAGGCTGGTTCCTTTTTTTTAAGTAGCCACCATGGCTACCTCCTTTTTGGCCATACAGATTAGAGAAATTCAATCTGAGGGCCCATATTGTGGAAGGGTGTTTACGGAAGGGACCAAACATCATTACTGGGCCCGAAATCACAGCCTTGCCCCACGCTTCCCTTCTTTATTGTTTCTTTCCCTTTTCCCAAACCAGCTCCCAAACCCAAAACCCTTTTCCCTTTTCCTTTTCCCTTTTGCAGAGAGCAGCGCAGAAGCTTCTCTGTCCGCGATTTCTCTTCGGCGCCGCCGCATTGTCCGCCGCCGCCCTCCCCTGGTAAAGACGGATTTCTCTCCGGCGTTGTCCGCCGCCGCCGCATTATCTGTCCGCCGCCGCATTCTCTCTCCGGCGTCGTCTCTCTTCGGCGCCTGCGTATCTTCCGTCTTCACCATCCCTCCCTCGCGCAAACAGAGAAGGAAGGGTTTTCTGGACCGTCGCAGCCGTCGTTCCTTTCTAGCGAGGTTTGTCGGCGGCTGGTTCTTTTTCCGTTGGTGGATAAACGAGCGTTTTCGGCGTCTCACCGGCGGCGACATTCATCGTATCTCTTCCATCATCCATTCCCGTTGTCGGCTGTGAGCTACTGATCTGAGGTTCGTCTCCCGCCAGAACTCTAATCTTCAATTTTAAACCGTATCGTGGATTTGGTTTTGTTTGCTTTGGTATTCTTCTTGTTTTTGTATTGTTTTTGGTAGTGATTTAGTTTTTGGTAGTGATTTAGTTTTTGGTTGTTCGGATTGGTAGGTTCTAGTGCATTGGTAGTGCTTTAATCCCTTGTCAATCTATGAATGGCAGTGTTATGTTTGGAATGGTAGTTTTTTTGCTGTTTTGAATTGTAGTGTAATGTTGGAATGGTAGCTTGCAGGTTGTCGAATGGTAGTTTTTCCTGTTAGAATGGTAGCTTTCAGGTTGTCGTGGATTGGTAGTCTTCATTTGGATTGATAGTTCTTTATCTGGATTGGTAGTTCTTTATTTGGATTGGTAGTTCTTTATCACTATTTTGAATTGTTGTGTCATGTTGGATTGGTAGTTCTTTATCTGGATTGGTAGTTCTTTATTTGGATTGGTAGTTCTTTATCACTGTTTTGAATTGTTGTGTCATGTTGGATTGGTAGTCTGCATTTGGATTGGTAGTTCTTTACTGTTTTCATTCATGCATTGGTAGTTTTCTGCATACATGTGAAACCGTGTTTTTTACGTGGATTGGCACTGTTCTGTTCGAATGGTAGTTTTTTAGTTTTTTTGAATGGTGGTTTCCTTTCATGCATTAGTAGTTTTCTCCATACATGTGAATCTGGTAGTTTGATGTGGATTGGTAGTCTTCATTTGGATTTGTAGTTTTTTTCCAATGCAACGGTTGTGATGCTTGATTAATGTTAAACGACTTACCTCCCATTTTTCCAATTTTAGGAATGGCAAGAACCAAGAACCCCAGTCGTAGGGGCTCAAAACACAAGGAACCTGTTACCTACAGCAGTCGTCAGGTTCAAGTTGGAAGTGGGCAAACCTCGGACTCTATTGATGAAGCTGTGCCGCAGAAGGATATGGGTAAATCTAAAGCACCTGGGAAGAAGTGCAGCCCCGCATCGATTATAGCAATTGTCGAGAATGGTATAACAAATTCAAGGATAGAGCTAATAAAGAAGCTCGGATTGGATTTTGTTTTCCATTTGAAGATGAAAAGGTTTGACAGCGAGCTTCTTATCTGGTTGATTGACCATTTCAATGGGGTCAGCATGTCGATTCAGATGGCTGATGGACGTCACCTAGTCCTCACAGTTGATGATGTGCAACGGGTTTATGGCCTTCCTCGTGGTCAAAAGCAGGTACCCAATGTCAACATTAACAAGTGCAAGACACTGCCAGGACAGATGTTGCACATTGATTCAAAAGAGAAGCATTGGAACAAGCTTTGGTCCTTGGCAAAAAAGTTACCCAACGTGACTGAGGACGCGATCTGGATCCGGATGTTTGTAATGTTGGTGTTTGGATATGTGTTGGAACCTACAAGTTCGGCAATTGGTCCAATATCAGTGTTGGAATTCCTTCAAGACAACAGTTTCAGCATCTTCTCTAAGTATGACTGGTGTACGTATGTTTGGAAGAAGCTGAAGAAGTGCCGTATGGGCAGCAAGATAGCGTCCTATGCCAATGGGGATCTGCACCTCCTGACATGTTGGTTCCTGGACCGGACATCTGAAACCCTCAACATCACCACCGACCTGCCATCGTGCAAGCATTATGACCATACTGAGGTGTACCAGAGGAGAGTTGGAATGTTGGAAAAGCATATGGCTTTAGATCGTGTGCCATACATCCACATCGGCACTGAGCCCAGGAAGAGGAATCCCTCGGACTCTATTGTGAGGTTGATGGAAGCTAGGAAAAAGAAGGCCAAAGTCAGTGAAGCTGGAACTTCATATACAACCCCTACATTCATTCCTGCATCGTCTACAAGTGACCCATCGATTGGGGATATGGGTATTGTTGAGGTAATTGAGTTATTTGTTGTTACTATGTATTTCTTTAGTCAATCATTCACTCTTTGCAAAGAAGATAAAACTAATACTATTTACTGTCCATGCTTCTAGTTGTTGGCAACTCGTAAATGTCTGGAGGATATGTTGGGCTACATCAAACTAAAGATTGGACACTGCGACAGGCGGTTAGCAGAGCTGAAGGCTGCACCACTTGATGATGTTGTAGTCAACGAAACAAATGAGGAAGACGGTGGCTATCAAGAGGAAGGATTAATTGATACTGATGCATCTGATTCAGATGCTAATAATGCCGATTCTGGAAAGATGGGCGATGATGCTAATTCTGGACAGATGAACGATGAAGAAGCTGAAGACGAACAGTTTTAGGAAGAAGGAACTCAAGATGGGTCGTCTGAGGGGGAAGGAAGTCAGGATGGGTCGTCTCAGGATGAAGAAGGTCAGTTACAACAAAGTTTTAACAATTGTTTTCGATATTTATTTGAACATATTGTTAACTATCATTGGCACGGCCTCTTTCATTGCTGTTTTGGTTAGAAGGAGAAGACCATGCTGTTGAACCAAGAACTGTAGGCGATGGTCAAGGCCCTGCGAACAAGGATGCTACCGTGATGAAGGATGACACAGCAGATGCAAGGATAAACAAGGATACTGGTGCTGAAATAACTCCAGGTAATATTGTGTTCCTATATGTTCGTGTTATTTGCGTATTATGGCATATGTTTTTCATTCTCATTTTCATATCTTGGGTCTGCACTTAAACTGTAATGGTAGTGTTTACATTGTAGTGTATTTGTTTTGGTAGAAAATTTGGTTTCGCTTTGGTAGTGTTTGTCATACGCTTTGGTAGAGTTTGTAGCATGCACTGGTAGTGTTTGCATTTGCTTTGGTAGTTTTTCAACTATGCATTGGTAGTATTATTTCAGTTACATTTGTAGTTCCCATTTTCGGACAGGAAACTTTACTTATGCTCATTTTTTCACATTCATGCAGTCGACAGTGGTGGTCCAGCAAAGGGGGCTGCTACCGTTAACAAGGATGATACAGCGGATGCAAGGATGAACAAGGATACTGGCGCTGAAATAACTCCAGGTAATAATCTGTTCCTATATGTTCGTGTTGTTTGCGTATTATGGCATATCTTTTTTATTCTCATTTTTATATCTCGGTTATGCACTTAAACCGTAATTGCAGTGTTTACATTGTAGTGTATTTGTTTTGGTAGAAAAATTGATTTTGCTTTGGTAGTGTTTGTAATACGCTTTGGTAGAGTTTGGAGCATGCACTGGTAGTGTTTGCATTTGCTTTGGTAGTTTTTCAACTATGCATTGGTAGTATTATTTAATTTACATTTGTAGTTCCCATTTTCGGACAGGAAACTTGCTCATTTTTCACATTCATGCAGGTGACGGTGGTGGTTCAGCTTTTACAACCCCCAACCCAGCAAAGGGGGCTGCTCCTGAAGGTAATGACGCATAAATTTTGTGCGCAACATTTGGGTGTACTTTTACCTTAACTTCCAATCGGACAATTATCTTACTTTTTGAACATTGTATCTCTTATGACTATTAGCGGCCTGTAACTAAACCTCTACATTCGGCATGTAAACTACTATGCTATCTCCTGTTAAACTCTTCCATTTCTATTTTGTGTTCTTTTTGTAGTGGTGATCCTTTATTTTTGTATCTTCTGTGCTTTTATGTTAGCATTGGTCCCGCTTTGGGGTTACAAATTTATTAGTTTTATTAAGCTATACCAGAGCCACCTCTGATAACATAGTCGCCATAGGTGTTGGAATTTCAGCCAATCCAGTAGATCTTCATGGGAAAGAGTTTGCATTGTACAACACTGGACCTGTCATAGGTGTACTAGGGACCAGCGATCCAAGCGGGCAGATTATCTCAAGCACCCTTGCTTCCATACAAGCTGACCTAGAAATGAATTCAGACGATGATTTCCAGACAAGGCCCCCAATGCTGCAGACTTATAATCTCCGTAAGAAACGAAACAAGGGTAAGGCATTAATATCACCTTACTGTAGACTTACTGATCTGAAGGAAGACAAAAAAACCCAATACCTGCAGATGGTATTGTCACTGTTCCCCCGAATCCTCCTTCAGCGAGTGAGCATCTGCCTGATGATGTCGTCAGCTGGTTGCGAGTGGAGTATGCATGGGTAGATGGGGATGGATGGTATGATTAATTTAACTTTCAGAATTTTACATCAATACTGGAAAATTTTATTATCGTTTTATATTACAACATTGGAAATGTTTTCACATTAATTTTAGGGATCCAGAAGAGGTTTTGCGGACAGACAAAGAAAGACTCGTGATTTTGCAGCGGAAAGATGCTCAGTTAGCACGTATGCGTGTCATTACTAGGCAATTCGTTGATTGCTATGTCCAAATCTTGAATCAAAAGATTTGTCAGTCTGGAAACTTGACCCGGTGGATCTCCCCGACACGGTTTGCAGTAAGTTCTAACTCACAGTTTATTTTTAGTACTCGTCGTTTAACAGCAATGGTAGACATCCGACCCTTTGTCATTGTTTCAGTATTTGGAAGGTAGAGTACTTCAGTTTGAGGACTCAGCGGCGGAGAGCACCCAAAGTGATTATTTGGGCGAGACATATCATCTAATTGAGGAGTGCGCATTTGTTAATAATCTGTCATTCGCTGACTGCAAGTTTGTAAGTGACTGAGATCCCATACTTTTACGCCCGCATGCAATTACACTAGTCATATGTCGTTTCTAACTCTATAAATTTTTTTTCCGATTTCTTGCAGTGGTTTTTCCCGTATGAGTGTGACTCAAATTATGTTCTATATTGTGTCAATTTACGTGATAAGAAGTTTGAGTTCTTCAACCCACGTGGTGGGAAATTTACGGAGCAC